TAACAAGATTTGAAATAGAATCCTAATTTTTTTTCTATTTACTAATGGTTCAGCCCTTTGGCAAGGGGATGGACAGACTCGTATTTGAACTTTTATCTTAAGGGTATGAAAATGTTTTTTATATTACTGATAAAATTATTTCAATTACCAAACCTTCACAAAATAAACATGTCATTAAATTAAGCCTTTGGGCTTAGTGATTCACTCCTAAATTATAAAATGCTTGGATTTGTTGGTTGGTATTTTGATCAACACTAACGCTTTGGAAAAAATACCTCCTGCCCAAATTGTAAACTATTAAAAAAAAAAAAAAAACCATCAAATGCCCCTCTTAAATGCTCCTACATCCCCTATCGGTTGCTCAATAACAGAATATCTCCAGAAAGAAAGTTCCTTAAAAGGTCAAATTAATGTTGTTTTATAAATGGCAAAAATGGTATAATTGACCTTTACTTTTAATAATTATTATAAATGGCAAAAAATGGTATAATTGACCTTTATTTTAAATAATTATTGACATAAACCATTTTATTTTTATGAAATAAATCTCTACTTATATTTTAAGATGAAATAAAATGAACCTTCTTATATTAAAGTAAAAAGTTAAATTATTAAGATTTTGTATAAATGTGATATCTAAGTGGATACTTACTCTCAAAAAAGAGGTAATCAATCTTATTTGACTACCTTTAAAGAAAGTATGATTTTTCTAACATGTTTTTTTAGTATTAATTATTATTGAAAAATAAAGTTGACTTTATTTAATCAATTAGCTAATTAAAATGATATACGTGATATATGTGATGAAATTAATATTAGGTTTAGTCATTTTTAATACTAATTAATATTAAAAAAATGTATTAATTATACTATTAATATATACTCTAAGGCCATATATTAGAAAAATCTAAAAAAATATTACTTCATAAAAAATACTCTAAATTGTCAAATTAGTAAGAAGTTAATATTTATCTTTAAAAAAAATGATAACATATGCTTACATTTATTAAATTTTAGTTAATTTATGTAAAATAAAAATATAAGAACTTTTTAAAATAAAATAATTACATTATAACTATATATATTTTTTAAACAAACCCAAAAAAAATTTGCAACTATATATTTACAAGACAACTAATTAATATTAGCGATCGGATTCAAAGGTAGAATCAAGTGCTACACCAATAACCCTTGTCCCTGAAACACATTGTAAATATATTTTATAATTTAATATTTATTTTAATTAATATTTTATGTATGTTTAATATAATAAAAATATAAAAATTTTAAAAATAAAATATTAAAATATATTGTCGAGTGAAGCCTCCGACTAACGTTGGAAAGCAAAGGAGAAGATTTATCGTACAAAGAAGTTAGAGGGTGAAAATGTAATTTTAAAATTTTAAAATTTATTATTTCCTCTCCGAGTCGAGTCGATTCGATAAATGTTCCATCTGCCCCTTGGAGTTCATCACTTCATCTCCGATTTGCTCCGACCTCCGCCGCCTGATTATGGTATGACGACGTCCAACCCTCTCTCTCTCCCTCTCTCTCTCTCTCTCTCTCTCTTTCTCTATTTCTTCCAGATATTTTGAAGATCTTCTCTCAATTTTCCTACGAATTCTTCAAAAGAAAAGAAATTGTTTTCTTAACTGATTCAATTTCTCAGGAAGCAAAGAAAAGGGCAACGGATTTCTCAGACTGAAATTAGAAATATTTCTTCTTAATCGTCTGGCATTTTCGTTCTGTTTTAGAGTAGGCTTTGGATTTAGTTAATCAGAGTTCTAGTTTTGGCCGATTCTATTTACCATGTTCCTTATTTTGAAAAAGAAACCCTAGGGTTGCATGAAGAAACCTAAAAATTACGGTTTAATGCCTTTTTCCTTTATGGTCTTGCTTGTTTCTTTGATTGTTGTTATAACCTTAATTTGAAATCTGAAATATTTTTGTTTTGAATTTTTTGGTTAGGTATACTGGAGACTGGAGAGGATTGAGTCATGGAGGAAATTTTCAATTAAAAGTTGATTGGGATTCTGCCTTTTGTCTTCTTGGGTTTGTATTAGGAATCACTGGGAATTTAGGTTTAATCAATGGCTGATCGAAATTCTGCTCCTACGAAGACTGTATGGATGAAGCAAGCTGAGGAGGCTAAGATCAAGAGCGAGGCTGAGAAAGCTGCTGCTGCAAAAGCAGCGTTTGAGGCCACATTCAAGGACATTGAAAAGAACCGAAACAAAGATGTTGCTGTAGCTTCATCTGACAGTGAGTCTGACAATGACAGTGATTTGGAGAACAAGCCAATTGGCCCTGTGGATCCTTCCAAGTGCACAGCTGCTGGTCCTGGGATAGCAGGTGGCACAGCTTGTAATCCTTCCACGTTTGTGGTATTGACAAAGGATGCAGATGAGAGGAAGGTTCTGAATGGGGGAGCCCAGATTAAGGTCAAGGTTTCACCAGGCATGGGTGTTGGGGGATCGGAGCAGGAAGGAGTAGTGAAGGACATGGGTGATGGAACGTATACAGTGACATATGTTGTGCCCAAGAGAGGGAATTATATGTTGAATATTGAGTGCAATGGCAAACCAATCATGGGTAGTCCATTTCCAGTGTTCTTCAGTGCAGGTACATATTGTCATATCTATATATGTTGCTGATCATGCAAAAGCCTCCATTTTTTGTTTTATGTTCAATATTTAAATTCTTTTGAATATTTAGAACGTTGGAAAACATTTCTGCTTTCCATGAAGATGCTAAGCTACTCATTATAAAGGAGGATAACAAATGTTCTTGATGTTATACCTTACAATCAGCATGTTTTAAACTCCTAGCTTGTAACTAGCATTAGTTTGCTTCCTTAGTATTCTTTGTACATCCAAATTTCTTTTTGTTATATTGCGTGTCCATGGTGGATGATGCTCCAGATGCTGTCATGTAGATTATTTTTTATTTATTTATTTTGTTATGCAGGTTCATCTACTGGAGGACTACTTGGCGTGGCTCCAACATCCACTTTTCCAAATGTAGTGAACCAAACCATGCCCAACATGCCAAATTACACGGGGTCTTTTTCTGGGGCAACCCCTGGCTTATTGGGAATGATCCCTGGTGCTATTTCTGGTGCTTCTGGTGGTGTTATTCTGCCTGGAATTGGGGCATCTCTTGGGGAAGTTTGTCGAGAGTACCTTAATGGTCGGTGTGCTAAAACTGACTGTAAATTGAACCATCCCCCCCACAATTTGCTGATGACAGCATTGGCTGCAACAACCAGCATGGGGACATTGAGCCAGGTTCCTATGGCACCGTCTGCTGCTGCAATGGCTGCTGCTCAAGCTATTGTTGCCGCTCAGGCCCTTCAGGCTCATGCTGCTCAGATGCAAGCACAAGCGCAGTCAAACAAAGAATCATGTGGTCTGTTTATGTCTTCAATTCCATCAATTGATGCTTCTACTTGTTTTTAAGAGTAATGCTATATGGACTGAAAATGCTAGGCCTAAAAGGGGAGAAATGTCATGTGGTATCAATCGATCCCAAATCATGGGACCCACCTGAGTGAAATGAGCCTCATGGTGTGATGTATAGTAGAGTCCTAGATTATATAGACTTTCCTTCCTTGGCTCCATCATTGTGTTTCTTCCCCTTAATGGCCTAACTATTATTTTCCTGTTCTTCAACACTTCCTTTTGTTTGTCTTCCTCAGTTTAGATTATTTACTTTAAATTTTTTCAGATTCTCCTGATGCAGCTGCAAAGGTTGATGCTTTGAAGAGAACTCTGCAAGTTAGCAATCTTAGCCCTCTTCTCACAGCAGAGCAGCTGAAGCAACTATTTAGTTTCTGTGGTTCAGTTGTTGAGTGTACAGTCACTGATTCAAAACATTTTGCTTACATAGAATACTCAAAACCTGAGGAAGCAACTGCTGCTTTGGCACTAAACAATATGGACATTGGGGGTCGGCCATTGAATGTGGAGATGGCCAAAGCACTTCCTCAGAAGTCATCTATGTCATCACTGGCGTCATCTTCTCTTCCCATAATGATGCAGCAAGCTGTTGTCATGCAACAGATGCAATTTCAACAGTCTTTGCTTATGCAGCAAACAATGGCTGCTCAGCAAGCAGCAAACAGAGCTGCAAGCATGAAATCTGCAACAGAGTTAGCTGCAGCAAGAGCTGCAGAGATAAGCAAGAAGTTAAAAGCTGATGGACTTGTACCTGAAGGGGATGAAACCAAACGTACATCTAGGTACTGTTGCTTATCTATTCTTTCTGAGACAATGATAATTAAGGATTCCTGTTTGGCCTAGCTAGAGGCTTTTTAGTAGTGCTGTTTAAGTAGATATTTTGTAGCAAGTGCTGAATTATGAAATTTATATAATCATAGATGGTTTTATAAGATTTACCAAATTTATAAGTGTCTTCTATGAATTCTTTTACACATGTTTATAATTAATTGAAGTTGGGTTAAACATATATTGCATTTACAGGTCACCATCCAATTCTTGTGCAAGGTCAAGATCAAAGTCAAGATCCCCAGTTAATTATCCACGGAGGTCTAGATCCAAGTCAAAATCACCTATCAGTTATCGGCAAAGACGGAGATCTCGTTCTTTTTCCCCCCTACCTCCCTGCCGACGAGATTATAGGTTTAAATCACCAAGGAGATCTCACTATCGCTCAAGTTTTGACAGTGAGAGGCGGTCATATAGAGAAGTTAGGAATAGTGCTGATAGGAGTTGGAGGCGTGACTCAGATAGGTCACATGACAATCACTCATCTATTTCAAGGAGAAATAGGAGTAGGAGTACTAGTCCGCAAACAAGAAAATCACATAAAGTTGATTCAGGCTCACCAAGGCATCACAGGGAAAGTTCACCTCGTAAGAAAAGAAAATTGAAGAATGCTGGTTCAAGATCTCCAAGGTGTGGTAGGGGAAGTAGGTCATCCTCAAGGAATGACAATGAAGAAAAACTGAAGTGCAGAAAGCGCTCTAGGTCAAAATCTTTTGATGATTCTGTTGACAGGGTAGATGAAATCCAGGATGAAAAGTTGGAATATCGAGGGCAAAGGCATTCCAGGTCATTATCTGCAGAAGGTAAGCATCAAAGAAGAAGCAGATCATCTACAAGAAGTTCAGATGAGAACAAAGCAAAACACAGAAAGAAGTCCAGATCAAAATCAGTGGAGGCCAAACATCACTTGAGTAATACAGTTGATGAAACGAGAGACAATGAATCAAAAACATGTGACAGAAGGCGTTCTAGGTCAAGATCTGCTGAAAGTAAGCAGTACACCAAGGAGAGAAGTGATCGAAGCAGGGATAAAAAATCAAAGCATCATGATAGAAGAAGGTCTCGGTCAAGATCTGCTGAGGTCAACAAGCATCACAGAGGAAGCAGGTCATCCACAAGAAGTTTAGAGGGAAAAAAATCAAAATACAGGAGGTACTCTATATCGAAGTCTCCCGAAGACACAAATCACTCAAATGATAGATTAGATGAAAACAGAAATGAAAAATCAAAGCATCATGACAGAAAGAGCATGACATCTGCTGAAGATAAGCACCATAGAGGAAGTAGATCTTCTCCCAGAAGTTCCGAAGACAACAAATCAAAACATAGAAGGCACTCTATTTCTACGCATGCCAAAGGTAAGCATTATTTGGACGATAGAAATGAGAAAATGCCAGATTGTAAAAAATTAGTGGAAAAATTTAGAGATGGTAATGAGCTGCTTGATTCCACTGTGCATGACATAAATGACAAAACTGATGATGTAATATTGCTTTTAAAATATGTAGATGATTCAAGAGCATCAACAAATGATGACCAAGATTTGAAGATCACATGCATGAAAGGTTTTAGCGCTGATGGAGGAGGCTCATTGTCAGCGATTAGCACGGATTGATTGCAGAAGAGCTGACCAAACTTTATTTAACAGGTATAAAAGATTCAGTAGATGATATTGGTATTTAATTTTGAGACCAAGAGAAAAACTCCAGAGAGAGAGATTAAGAGAGAATGGTTCTCAAGTTTGACTAATGATAATATTTTTATTGTGTTATCCTTTACAGGAGTGAAAGATCATTCCGTTTCTACCGACAGAAGATAGCTGTAGGCTCTAGTGTTGCCAGATCAGACCATGGGCTGCAAATTGACACCTTCAAATTATGTGGTCTCACTTCTGCAATACAGGCTTGTTTAAATTCAAGCTTGTTTGGCAATGGACAATTTTATTATTTTGGGTTGAGCCTTAGGTTCCCATATGAATGGTGGTTCTCTTCAGATTGTTGTGTCTTTCTTTTGGTGCTCAGATTTTTCTGCCACTGGTTGGCATTTCATAAATGTATGTGCTTTGTGCTTTCATCTTTTGCAGGATAATCAAACTGGTTGGACTTTGAGTATCTGAGCTGATATTAAAATGGATGAAGTATCTTTGGCAGTGTTCTGTTTTCACCTGCAATCAACAATGCAATGTTTATATCAAGGTTCTGTTGCTGCTGTGTATGTTAGACTATTTTCTCTATTGATATTTTATGAATTTTAGTGACTATTTATCCTAAGGATTATTGCCGTCTTTTCTTTTTTTTTATGTTTTTCTTTGTCTCTTATACATCTGTATTCATGTATATATTGCATGATTGAATCTTAATTAAGTCGTAGGTCCTTGGCATAATGTAGGTACAGGGGATTCATCACAATTGAGTTTATCTTTGAAAACTCACTTATATATCGAGTAGGGAAAAACTAACTTCATGTTCATTTCCTAACCCTTGCCTGAGTTAGTCTCTGAAAACACCTTCTACTGGTCTTTTTTGTCTTGATTCCTAACACTTGTCCTTCAATTATATGCTTGATCATAGGTTCAATTTTTATTTACATTTAATATCTGGGGGACCTGTTATATCCCAAACTCATGCAGATTATATGTGGTCTTTCCTGTTGGAGCTGTCTAGGATCAGTTTGCAGGATTCATTTTTACTGATTTAAATAAAGGTATGCAGTCACAATATGGTGGGGAGTTTATGTCATGAAGTCTTTTTTTGGAACTTCTTTGGTAGTGTTGATTAATGCAATAATTCACTGCTACTGTCTGCAATATTGCTCTATTCTTTATAGACTCAGTTCCTTACTCTTGGCCCTTCTTTTTTCTTTGGTCCCATTTTTTCCATTTTTTCTTTTTTCCCTTTTCTTTCTTTTCTCCTTCCTGAGGGGAATTCTTGGTTCGGACAGCTACTTTTAACGTCAGGTGTAAGCTGATGTTGCTGGGATAAATAACGCCTCAATTTCCATCACAGTGAGTTTGGGAAGATAGGTTGAATCATGTAACGTGATATCATGGTGTTTGGCAGGTAATTCGATGACACTGATTGGCTGTGTTCTGTAACTTCTGTTTTCTATTATTGGATGAGTTACTTCTGTATGCATTCTTGCAATGGATATTAATAGTTTGTGGTTACTTCATTCCGGTGGATTGCCAGGATTCTCGTTATTAACTGAAACATTTTTAAACTTTTAAGAAGCCTTTTTTTTTTGTTTTGTTGCTTGTATTCTGTTGATTGGATATGCTTTTTATATAAGCGGTGCTGTAACAGGTCCAAGAGTGTAGCAATGTGAATTGCCTACATCGATAGATGATGATATACTTCTTTCATGACGTGTCATGTGTGGTTTCCTATTCTTCCATGTTTTATTTTCAACTTTCATTTGTTTCTCTCTCTCCCTCTCCCTCTCCCCCTCCCTCTCTTTCTCTTGTGGGTTTCCTGTTAGGACAAGGCATTGATATGGTGGCCTTGGCGTCACATCTGGGAATAATGAGTGGCATGAAATCCTGTGTCCAAAAATTTTATTAAATGATATATGACATCTCTATTTTCTTAACAGACTATGACATATGAACAGCTTAAAAATTTAGTTTGGGTGCCTTGGAGTGGTTAAAAATTTGAAACTTAATGTTAGAGAGATATTAAGTTCAAAATCTAAGATGGGTGGGAAAGGATTTAGGGGAGGGGAGAGGATTATCCATTCTTTGACGTATAGCTTACTATTTGATGTCCGAGTACAAGAACAGTTGAAAATTTGGGGCGACCATTTTGATTTTGTGAGGTTGAGTTGGATGACTAAATTGTTGACGTTCACAAGGGTCGACTGGGTATAATATTAGAATTACAGTTGAGTAACCAAAATGTTGACCTTAACAAAGTCGGGTTACCATTGATGAAATTCACCCCAAAAAAATTCGATTTTTTACAGAAGCAGGTTACTCCGCACTGCCACTACTTCAGAAAGTGGGGTAAAAAAAAAGAAAGAATGGGAGCCAGAAACTATGTTACACGTTTAAAGTTCAAACATCATTTTCAAGACCAAGTCGTCTTGATGGCGAAAAAAAACAGAACAAAAAATGCACCGTACGCTGCCTTGTGCTCTTGCAATGGGTGGTGGTGGAACGTCATTGTGTTACCGGCCAATCATAAGCAACTTTAAAAGCAGCAAGGACCATTTGTCACATGAAAGGTTAGGTTCACTCATCTTTTTTTTTTAAATACAATTACTGTTAGAGTATATTTAGACTACAAAATAAAAACCATTAGATAATGAGAAGATAACTTTAACATTTTATGTCATATAACATGATATAAATCGAATTATAAAACCTTCTTAAAAAAAAAAAAAAAAACCACAACAACCATATCCAAATTCAAAAGAAATATGGACCATTTAACATCTATCATACGAAGGTTAGGTTAACTTCTTGTACTGCAGTAATTAGATCATGGGCTAAGTCAAATCCAGGATTTGGATGGTTAGCGATAGGATAAGGATTAGACAACTTGAAGAAGAAACTTCACCTTGATTAAAGGGATTAATACTCCGTTTGTGTTAATATAGTAAATGTTTATAAAAGCTTTATTTAGCATGATTCTAGCTTGGGGTTTTAGGTTTTGCTTTTCATAAATATTGCACTTATTGAAAACTAAACTAAAAATCAAAAATCAAAAATCAAAAATTTATTTAAAACAAATTTTAATACTAAAAACAAAAAATATTTACTTATTTAATAGTATCAAAATTATTTTTGTTTTTATTTCTCTAAAAACCATAATAATATGTTGCAAAAACACGAGAAAAAATATAAATAGGTTTTGTTTAGAGTTGTAAAATTTATAATAATCAAACCAAAAATCCAAAACCACAACCATACTAAACAAAACTTAAAATTTTATGAACAATTGATTATCCTTTTACTTACACTACTCTTAAAAAGATAAAAAAGATAGAAAAAAATTTGTTGTGACAGGATGCATAATTAAAATCAAGAGATAACAATAAAATTAAAATAAATTTAAAAAATATTTATTTTTATTAAAATATAAAAAAAAAAAACAACTAGTATTATTTTGAGATAAATTCTAATTCAAGAAATAACTATTATTCCGAGACAAACAAGATTTGATGTTTAAGAGTAGTACACTTGACACGTTGCACGAATAAAGAAAGAGTCGAATAGAGAATGAACTATACACACCACATGCCGGCAAACAAAGAAAGAGTAAATGCAACTCAAGGATGATAGTACATGCAAAAGCGAAACCAGAACATGTGGCATCTACCACATAGTATCCTCAAAAAAATTGATGTATGTCAAATCATCCACTCTTATCAATAATTAGATATAATTGTTTCTTATTTCACTTATGATATTTAGCTTAAATACTACTATTATTTATTACAATGTGATTAATTCACCAAAAAAAATTAAATCTACAAACATCACCCTCTTGTGAAAGGGAATTCATATATCTATGATATAATATTGACATAGAGAGATTAGTATTAAATTCAAAGAAGTTTTGTGGGCTAGTTTGTAATAATTCTAAAAGCTTCAATGGAGAATATAATTTACCAAAAGAAGAAGTCCAAGAACATAAATTTAGATAATGAAAGAAAATCGAAACATCCTGTAATTTACAATATCAAGATGTATTATAAAATTATTTAAATGTTTGTTATAAATCTTTCTTAATATATAAGGAAGGTACATTTATGATATTTAAATAATAAAAATTTTTAATTTATATTTTTAAAATACAAGTTAAGTCTTATTAAATATAATATTTATAATTAATTATGTGTAAATTTTATATCAAATTTAATTAAAATAAAATAAGATATAATAATTATATTTAAAATTTATAAATATATATTTAATATAAAATTTATATAAAATTAATTACTAGTATTATAATTAATAAACCTTAACTTTTTCTTTTTCAAACGTTGAGGGTGCATGAAAATCTTTATAAAGATATGACGATTAGATCACGAAAACGTTCTTTAGTAAACCTCAACTATAAGATATAGATTTAATAAACTTCAAATAATTTCATTAAGGTAATTAATACCCTTGTGTTGAGAAAAATTTATTCGAAGGTTGTCATTTTTACTGTTTTTGAAAACTCACATCAGAGATGAACGGATGGCCCCTTTTTTTCGAAATTACCAAATTAGCCCTGGGTGTTAGAGATGGCGGTGCTTCTTCCTTTCCCTTTCCTCATTGCCAATTACCGAATTAACCCTGGGTGTTGGTGATAACTACTGTCCTTCATGCTTTTCCCCTTTCTTCATTTTCAATTTCTTCACAATTTTCATTTCTATACACAAAGGCGAGAGAGAGGCGGAGAGATGCGTTGTGCCTACGGACTGGCAATTCCGGCGAGCGACACTCGGTTCTTCACACCAGAACCGTTCCTCCGACTCCCCAGGCCTGGGAGTGGGAACCCATCTCGTATCTCTATTGGGTCCTTCAGAATCAAGGCCAAAATCAACGAAGCAAGGAAGGAAACCAGCTTCTACGAGCTGCTTGGAATAGCCGAGTCGGGGACTCTGCTCGAGATCAAACAGGCGTACAAACAGCTGGCCAGAAAGTACCATCCGGACGTGTCGCCTCCAGACCAGGTCGAGGAAAACACCGAGCGGTTCATCCAGGTGCAGGAAGCCTACGAGACGTTGTCGGATCCTAGAAGCAGAGCGATTTATGACAGGGACTTGTCCATGGGTCTTCACCTCGCCTTCTCTGCTCGGAGGCGTTCCCAATACCATGAGGTATGCCAATTCTTTCGATTCATTTTCCAAACTGCACAGATATGGGATTTATGGCGATTGGCTTGTTCTTTTCCTGATATATATATTTTAGAACTGGGTTGGTCTTTTTGATTCGAATTCAGAATGCAAATCAACTTTTTTTTATGAGTTATATTACTCAATCGTTCCGGTTTGCTTTTTGATTGAGGAATTGGAACAGAGAAGCGAGTGGAAAAATCGTTGGCAGTCTCAGCTATCAGAACTGAAGAGAAGAAGCATGAACAAGGATGCAAAAGGAAACTTGTCATGGGGAGCTCAAGTGCGCAGGCAAAGGGAAGAAGCATCAAAAAAACCATAGACACTTCTGTTTTTGATTTTGTGCATATACTGTTATAAATATCTTCTCCAAATCCAGAAATCTAGGCAGTCTCTGCAACCTTAAATGCTATATTTGGTTAAATTCTAAACTAGTCTATAAAGTTTTAATTTTATACATTTTTAGTCTCTAAATTTTTTTTGCACTTTTTAGTTCCTAAACTATAAAAAAAAACATATATTTTTTAGTTATTTTGTTAGTTAATTCATTAAATTTATTCATATGTATACATTTTTAGTTTCTAAATTTATAAATTTAGTGACTAAAAATGTATATATTGGAATAGATTTAATAGAATAACTAATAAAATAACATAAAAATGTATTTTTCAAAGTTGAGGTATGAAAAAGTATAAAAAAAAGTTAAGGAACAAAATTTGTTTAAATCTGAAAGTTTAGGGGCTAAATTTGACATTTAGCCTTTTGATTTTGTCCCGCCGCCCATGTATACATTAATAACTTTATCTCTCAGATGCAGTGGGACGTTGGGTTATCAGTGGCCAGACTCTGTTTTTTGTAACTCTAAGTTATGAAGTCATTTTAAAATGAAAAAATTATTTTACAGTTTAAAATGGTTTGAAACAATTTAAATAGTAAAATAAAAAATTTTAAGATAAAAGATGAGTTTCTAACATTGAGATCTTTTCTTATTTAAAAATTTTTATTTTATATTATAGTACATTTTGAATTATAAAATAAAAGACTCTTTTAAATAATTAAAAAATAATTATAATTGTTCATTAAAAAATTATTATTTATTAAACAATTAACAATGTTTTTGTCCATATATATATATTAAAAAAAAAAACAATGTTATTTTCAGCTGGTGCTAAGTTGTTAAGGGTAGTACCATTGTAGAGAGATTCAAGACATTACAACAGCAGAGAAATTCCTTTTATAAGTTGAGCCTTAACATGGAATTAGTTGAGTGGTTTTCAATGTTAATTAAGTAGTTAAATAAAGACCCTAACATTGGTGTATGTCTCGTGTGGTTAGTATGTAAGTTTTTCACACACCATCATGTTCAAGTTCCTTTGTTCCTATTTCTCTTTTCCTTTACCCCCAATTCCTTTGTAAAAAAAAAAAAAAGTAGTTAAATAAAAAACCAGGCATTCGATTCTGTCCTGTAATCAGACTCTTCGCCTTTATATCAACCGTACGCACTTTAACAAAGTTGCATTTTCTGCATATTTTATGTTGCTTTAAGTATGTTCCAATCCAAAAACATGGTGGATATAATGGTGCACCATTTTTCTTTTCTTTTTTGGGGGTAAATAATTAGTTCACTATTTACGGACATAGGTACGGCAAGAATCTGAGTTAAAGAGGGATTTGTTTATGTTTTCATAGATTGTCGGTAGAAATTTTATAAGGATGGTGTTATAAGAATAATTTTTTTATATTATTTTTTTATATAATTTTTACATATTATTAAATGAACAGATATATTTAATATTATAGATTCACATGAATTAAAAAAAATTAATTATTTTAATGTCACATCAAATTATAAAAAAAAATTATATAAAAATCATTTCCCAATTTTATAGCTGATACATCGATCATGAAATCTATTAGAAAGGAAGGTGAGAAGTCTATTTTCCCCAAAAAAAAAAAAAAGGAGGAAGGTGAGAAGTGTACATATATGTTGTTGGGTAGGTTCACCTAAGATTTTGGATGATTCATGTGCCGTTAGGTAATGCTTGAAGCCTTGGACGCTCTGGCTCTTTTAGAGTTAGAGGCTCAGTAGCCCACTATAGATTTGGGTTAGTGTTTTGGGAGCCTACGATAGAAAAAGGAGAAAATTAAAATCTCTAAATAATTAAAATAAAAACGTAAAAATCAACAAATTTTATTATTAAAAATATTAAGATATTTAATTTTAATTGTATGATAAATAAATTTTAAGTGTAATATACTTATATCTTATTTATTTTGTGATTGTTATTGAATATTTTAATATTTTTTATATAAAAATATTTTAATTTTTTAACTTTTAATTAAAATATTAAGAATAATAGAAAATTTAAATATTTTTAATACACATATATAAAAAATTTATTTAAAATATTTAACTAATTTTACAAGAATTTTAATATTTTAAAATATTAAAATATCCCACTTTTTTTTTTGGAAAAAAATTTTTTTTCTCACACACTGTCTCTCTTTATAGATAAAAGGGGGTGGTCAATTATTATTATTATTATTTTTTGTTTGAACATGGCAATTATTTACTTTTTTTTTTTTTTTTTGAACAAGTTCGAATCCGTCCATGGAGAAGGAAAAATGCACTTCAAGCTAGTTGAGTGCCAGTTGACCTGAAGGACCAGGTGCGATCAATTATTTACTTGATGATGAAAGAGGTGGTGATCTACAACCTAATTTCTTATCAACATTAGCCTTCGTCTAGCATTATAGCTCCTACAAAATACAATAAAGTTGACGTTTTCCATCCTATTAAATGTCAATTGTTATTGTTATTGTTAGTTGAGAATGCTAAGGAACCATAAATTGCCATTATCTTCACGTTTCTTATCTTAAAAGTTTCTTCTAGTAATAAATTTTAGCTTGTGTAGGTTGAGTTGGAAAAGGTGCAGATCAGCCCCTGAACTCAACAACTGGTGGCAAATCACCCCCTCAACCCACTTCACGCGCAAATCAGCCCCTCAACTCCCCTGCAGTGGCAAATCAACCCTTCTCTTAACATTTCCGTTAACATTTAACATTCCGTTCATCATCCCTCTACTACATTTAACTCAATTTTATAGATTACCACAAAAAGTGTGGGACTGCTCACCGGAGAACTCGCCGGAGAAATTCCGCCGATGATGTATTCGCTGAAAGTGACACCTTTTTTGTGGTAATCTATAAAATTAGGATTCGATCCATAGGTTTTGAATCCAATCGTCGGATCACCGAAGGAACCTCTGTCGTATTCTTTGAATGTATCGTTCACTGGGTTAAATGTTTTCCCATAGTTGGCAAAATTCACTTCGTCGGAATGGGCATGGCTTGTGTAAGATTGGAAAGTATCATCTCTGAAACTAGCACCGTCTAGGTAGCTAGTGAATTTATCGATTCCAGAATTGGCACCGACGCCATAGGTTTTGAAATTGTTGTGCGGAGTGTTCCCTGAATCACCATATCCTTTAAACGAGTCATTCGCCGCATTCCCCAACACGCCGTAACTCATAAAATCCGACCTGATATTGTTGGCGTCGTTGCTGTAGCTGTTGAACTGGGACGGAACTGCATTGCCGTTCTTTCCGTAGCTTGTGAACGCTTCAGCGCTTGCATTTGCCTCCTCGGTATAGCTTGAAAATGAAAGCTTATGAGAATTAGCGTCGGAATCATACAAGATAAATCCAAGATTCGGCACGTTAACTCGTCCGTCGTAGGATGTGAAATCCCCGAAGCCACCTGTGGCGCCGGAGCCGTAATTGGTGAAGTTATCAGTAGCAACATTGACATCTTTGGCGTAACCTTTGAACTCTTCTGTGTGTGCGACTGAGTCTCCACTGTATTCATTGAAGGAATTAGCAGCCGTGTTTAACCCATTGGAGTAGTTCTTGAACAACCCAACTCCTCCGATTCTAGACGAACTGTACCCAGAAAAGCTTTTACCGGAATGTAGTGCAAAGTTTGGATCTTGGCCGGGTTTGGAGTTGTCCAAAGAACATAGGAGGTTGGCTGAGGAGCAAAAGGAGCCCAAGTTTGAAGAGAGATTGTTCTGAGCGGCAATTCTGGTGAACTTGGCCAATTCCATGGCATTTAGAGGGGAAGCCTTGGAGAGAAGAAACAGTGGCGGGGGAAGGTTCCCGGAGACGTGGGCCTTCCAGTATCGGATCACAGATGCTCTGGCACTGAGTGGGTTCTCTGCAACTTTGGTCATGATT